GCACAGAAGGCTGCGGAGAGCTACCACGGTCCCCTTCAGAGGTCTAAGGCCAGAACCAACAGACCGAAACTACAAGGAAACCGATCCGGGTTAGATGGGCTGCTAAAAGAGGTAACAGAGGAAGAAGCTGCCCCACGAAATGCTGTATTCCCTTCCATGAAAGGTGCTCAAACCGAGGCTGCATTGAAACTGTCCCCAAAGCGGTAGGTAGCGGATCCTCCACCATACAGGATTTAAACTAGAGATCTATGACTCTGGGGAGGAAGTTAGAAAAGAAAGGATTTAAGATGCAAAGAATCAGCATAGAAAACACACCCTTGTGTTCAGAACACAAGATAATTTATTCCAGCAAAAATAAATATAGAAAATATTAATGACTGTGAAATACACACACACACACACACACACACACTCAACCGCCCCACTCAATCAACTTGCAAAGACAGACTCCTGGCCATTGGAGGTCTTGCCAAGAGTGTACTTTACTTTACCGAAGCTTAAGTGGTTACAAAAATAGCGAAGCTGAATCTGAGACAACGCAAAGTAAATGTCCCACACCCCCACACACACCCCCGCCCCACTCCACCATTCCCCAGTTATCTGCAAATATCCAACCAGGTGCTTGTATATTGTTCAGGAAACAGGTTCTCCGTTCCCAGATCCGCATATCGATAGTTGATCTTGGCTTGGCTGAAGCTTCTCACAAGACTCAGGTGGGCTTCCCCCCCCCCCCCCCCACTTTCTTCTTCCTTACAGTCCAGTCTTTCTCTCTGTTGCTATTGTCAGCTCATAAAGCTTGGATAGGAAAGATACAGCCATGACACACACACACACACATATAAAGTAGAATATATGGCCACCGACTCCCACAGTATACAAACCCAACCCACTCCGTTATTACGTATTATTTTAGATTTAGAGAATAATACACACAATCAACAGATGGTCAGAATACCATTGTAAAGGCTTCTTTCTCTCCCAACTAAATAGTGCTTTGAAATAGGTTGAGAAGACTGTTTTAATTTATAGTTTAAACACATTTTACTGTAAAATAATGTAATATATATGGGAAAGACCAATCCCACCTCAGCACCAAGTCATTATCCAATGCAGAATGCCCACCCCAAGTCCCTACTTGGCGTATGCCTGTGCATAGCTCGAAGCCTTTGCCCGGCCTTCCTCTCCAGAAAAGCCTTGGCAAGCCTCACAGTTAACACTGGCTGTCTCCAACTCAGGAGCAACGGAGACAGAAATGGACCTGAACAGCCCCAAAGCCAGGGTCTTTTTATTGGGACAGAGGTAGCCCTGCCACAAGCCACCTTCCCACCTGGTAGCATTTGAGGAAAGGCGGCCCACCCTTGGCCTGAGCACGGCCCCTCCTGGGCAGCAGAGAGTCTAGCCAGAGTACTTTGCACAGTCATTACACAACAGCGCTGAAGAGTTGCCATTCTTTCCCCAATTTTACTTTCTCTCTTTTACTACTCCAGGTTACGAACCAGAGAAAAGTAGCATAGAAACACAGGAAACAAAGCAACCAAAAATCCCCTTTTCTCACAGCTAGGATCCCAGAAAACTCACTGGACTTCCACACTTTTAATGCTAAAAATGAGGCAGAGAGTGAGAAGCAGGCCAAGGGCATGCACAGAGCTGGGGAAAAGCCATATTCACTTGGGAAGAGGCGACTGGGACATATACAACCAGATCTTCTCCTACACCCGCCTCTCTCTTTGCAAAAGCCAAACTCCTTGAGGATTTGTTTGATAAAAGACAGACTGCACACAACGCACGGTTCAACTGCCTGCGGTCACAAGATAGCAGAATATTGCAGCAAGCTTAAGCCTGAAATACTTTTTATAGACTTGTGCCAAAGTCCAAATTTTGCAAGCTAAAGTTTCCCAACCTGGTAACTTTCAAATGTGCTGATACCTTAGATTGCAGCTAACATGGAGAAGTCAATCTAAGTACTTTGGGCAAGAGCTGAAACATCGGAAGAATCTTTGTTTTGACATTAAAGGGCAATTTGGAAATGTGACGGCAACATAGAAAATGCGAGAAATGGAGGTTTGTTTTAATATCTCTCACATATTGATTTTTAATCAGAAATCTGGAATTTGCTTAGTGTGATTATGTCTGATGATAGCTCAGTTCCAGGGTCAGAATATGTCTGCAGCACCATCCTGAGCAGGGTGGGCGAGATCAGGGAATCGAAATGTTACAGGAGCCTAAGACTATCGAATTCAAATTCAGGACAGGAAGCCCAAATTAATATAGCTCAAAAAAAACTAACTTAATACATCCAGAGAAAGGAAGCCCACTGTTACTCATCTAAAATAATTCTTCCATATTCTTCCTATAGTTTTAAATCCATTATTTCATGTTCCAGACCCTGATAAGACAATATTGTGACCATCCTTCAGTTTGGCCTAGTCAAGTCAGTTTGGTCTAATGGTGAAGGCTTCGGGCTACAATGCAGGGGACCGAGAGTTTAAGTCCCACCTTAGCCATGACAGCCAGCTGGGTGATTCAGTACCTCTCTCTCAGTCCAACCCACCTCACAGGGCTGTTGTTGTTGTTGTTGTGGAGAAAATAGGGGAGGAAGGAATGTTGGATCTATTTGCCACCTTGAGTTATTTGAAAAAGTATTAAAGGCAGGATACCAACCAACCAATATGGCATGATTACAGGTATTTGAAGAGGGCTCCACCTTTAGTTTTCCCTTCTGAAAGTTAATCCTCCAAATTCCTTCCATCTCTCATCATGGGAACTATTTGTTTATTTTCAGACTATTTCTCTAGTGTACCATGATAGTTTTAAATTTTGCTTTTACCTTTTAGGGTGTCCACTATCCCAATTATGTCTGTCAACTGCAAATCTGTTAAGCAGTTGTCTTCTCTTTGCAAATAAGTTAATAAACTGTAGTTTTTACAAACGACAGAACTCAGGGGCTGAAACTTCTGACAGCTCATGCCACTGAAAGAATCTTCAGCTTATGCAGCAAAATCCTGTTCCATATCTGTAAACTTCCCCAGAAGACAAGAGGCATCACTGAAGATTATGATCTGTTTGCAAAACCACACAATTTACTCATCAAGCCGCCTTCTTCCCCTAGCAGTGAAAGTACTACAGGACATGTGCAAGCAGGGACTGCAGCATTGTGTTAAAGTGCCGTCTCCTTCCAATATAACCCTCTAAGAATTCTGTCAAGCTGCTTAACGATTAACAGACCTGGAAATGAGAATGGGAAAGAAGCTGAGAGAATTGAGCTAAATTTAGGCAGAAAAATATTGGAACTACTGGAACACAAGATGATGAAATTTTGTCAACCAACTTTGCAATGGCTTAACGTTTTCCACTTTCCACCAGCCCAGTTCTGGGACACTAAAAAACAGCACAGTGCAGAAGGAAAAAAGACCCCTCCCCCCAAGCAATGTAGAAAGAACAGGAAGCAACAATTATTGCAGCATTTTATAAGACAAGGAGGTAGAGAAGAAGCAGCTTTTAAGCCACAAACAGTTCCTTAAAGAGGCATCTGGAATTGGTGTGGTTATTTCTCTGAGCAGAAACCACAGCTATCTCCATCAGAGCTACACGTATGACAGGCTGTCCCTCCTCCCCATCCAATGTGAATCAAAAGGAGAACACGCCATATGCTCAAGTTTCTCGCATTTACCATTCATACAAGGAAAGCAGATTATATATGACTTGTCAAAAGAATTCAGAAACTCTGGTTTGTCACTGTGAAGCCATGAGATCCAGCCACAATAAGCCAAGAAAAGGGGAACAAGAGAGATGACAAGGAGAACTGTAGAGACCAAGATGCTGGGACATGGTGAAAAAGAGAGAAGCAGGTCAGGGAGGGCAGCTCTGAAGAAAGAGAACAGGCCACTGGAGTGAGAAGAGGAAGCCGGGAAGGGTCAGAACGGCTGGTCTATCCCTCACTTTCCCTTCTGTATCCCAGAGAATCTTCCGCTGCTTAAATTTCTGCTTGCATGCAGAGGGTGCATTGGAATTCACACCAAGGCGGCAAGACAGAAGCCTCGTGAGAGATTAAGCCATGATTTCCCCAGAGCAGAAGCAGGAATAGGAAGGGCAGAATCCACAAAAGGAGGGAAGGGGGAGCTCCACTATGCACAGGAGTTCTGGTCCAACACATCTGGAAGCCCCAAAGCTGGGAATGGATGTTCTGGGTAATGAGTTTTGCATTACTCCTGACCCAGGACATCTACAGGGTGCCTCGGACTCAAAGTCGGCGCCTGTGGGGTGATCGGTGCTCTTTCTATCCTCTTTCACCCACCAGTATCTGCACAGCCTCCAGAGCTCCCTCTGCAGTCGGGGCGAAGGGCTAATCCTGCACGGAGGCGCCTCTGGAAGGGGGCCCAGTGAAAAACTGGCCTCAGTACCTAGAGGGCAGCCTTTGTCCAGGGGTGCAGAGCCAGGGGTCCTCTGCCTGGAGCAGCGAAAGGCGAAGGGCCCAACCCCAGCTGTGGCAGCTGCCACTGTGCCACGACGTGGAAGGTGACCTCTGCACCGCCCCTTTCCCCCCAGCTTGGTGGAAGGCAGGGCGGCAGCTCCCTGGGGACCCCTGGCCGACACACAGAGCCCCCCCCCCCCGCCCCCCGGACAAGCAGCGCTGTCGAGCCCAGAGCCCGACCCTCTTCCTATTGCTGGGGGCCCCGGGAGATGCCAAGAGCCTCCCGGGAGGGCGGGCGGGGGGCACGTTCTTCTCTCCTCCAGCCTCTGCAGCCTCTGCAGCCTCACGGGAAGAGGGCAGCCTCGCAGGAGGCCCCGGGAGGCTGCCTCGACCCAGGGCAGCTCCACCGCACCTCAGGTCACCCAAGCAGCCGGCCCGGCGGCTCCCCCCGCCCTACGCCCAGCCCCCCCCCCCCCCCCCCCCCCCCCCCCCCCCCCCCCCCCCCCCCGGGCGCACACCCCCCCCAGGGGGGGGGGGCCCCCCCCCCCCCCAGGGGCTCGGGGGGCCTCCGGCGGGGAGGCGCGCTCACCTCGTCCCACCCGTCCCTCCAGGGGGTCCTTCCGGAAGTGGATGCCGTGGACGTCCACATGGGCCTCCCCGCCCGCGTTGACGGCCCAGACCACGTTCTCGGCCAGGCTGGCCCCGGCCAGGCTGCCAGGCGGCGGCTGCAGAGCCAGCAGCGCCAGCAGCGCCGCGGCCAAGAGCGAGGCGAAGCGGAGCTGCAGGCCCCCGGCCGCGGCCACCATCTCCGGCTCCTTCCTTCCGCGCTGCCGCCTCAGCTCGGCAACGGCTCCGCCCCGCCGCCACCGTTGCCGTTGCCGCGGCTGCCGCTCTCGCACATGCCTCCCGCCGCCTCAGCCGCAAGGGGGCATCCCACCGTGCTGGCCGTGCCGGCTACCCTGACGCCGGCCAATCGCGGCGCGGCTTCGCGGGGTCGCGCCGCCTCGTTGGCTGCCGGAATCCCGCTATTTGCATATCGGCACGGCCGCCGGCCCATAGGTGCGCGGCAAGGGGATGGCAGCAAGGTACGTTGAGAGCGCAAGTGGACGTAGCCGATTGGGGGACTCCTTCGCCTATTGGCGACGCTTCCCGCCTTTCTGGGGGCAGAGCGTGGCCGTGGACCGTTCCACGGCGACCGGATGGGGGTGCGACTATTCGCTTCTCCTTGGGTAGCTTCTGTTTCTCCGCGGCTTATTACCACAGAGAGAGGGGAAACGGAGGAACTGCTATGCCTTTGTTTTTCCCGGCAACCCCCCCCCGGGTTATCCCCCGATCTATTGGTACAGCCCAAAGCAGGCCGTCCAATTAGAAAGCTACAGCGCGGCTCCTGAGCGCGGTGGATTGTGGAGCCGTGCTGGCAGGAAACCGGAAATAGATGCCTGGGTGCTAAGAGGCCTGCGGTTGTCATGGCAGCGCGCGCCTATCCTCGGGTAGCGGCCCCTTCGTGGGAATGGCGCTGCCGACTGAACCCGCGTTAACGTGGCATGCAAGCGAAGCATGTGACGATGTAGCGCTGCTTAGCCCACCTGGGTTTATTCGCAAGCCTTGCCATTAAATCTTAAAAAGCCATGGTGGGTGTTTCTTTAAAATAAGTATAATTTAATGTTCAAAGCACTGTTTTTTCCAACTTGGCAACTTTAGGTTGTGAGGTCGTCGACCTTTTGGTGTGGTAATAGGTTTATTGTTCATTGTGTGTCTGTACTTTGCTTAGAAATAAGAACATAATAAACAACCACTATTACGGCTGACCCCTGCGCATGTGCAGAGTGTACTTTCTTCAGCTCCTACTTGCTGGCCTTTGGCTCCCTTCTTTCTCCACGTCTGGGCTTCAGCGTCTGCGGCTCACGAGCCGCAGCCTGGGGGCCTTGGAGGAATCCAGCCCTGGTGCTTGAAGAGTGCTTAAAGACCATCTATTCGGGCCCATTGGGATTCCAAACCGAAGCATCCCTGAGGGACGGAGCCCTTGGCTTGGGCATCAAGCTGCTCTCGCTTATTGGAGCAATTCCATTTCAGTCAGGGCCCCTGTGCAGCATCCTTCAAGCCAGGGGTCTCCAACCTTGGCCGCTTTAAGACTTGTGGACTTCAAGTCCCAGAGTTCCTCAACCAGCTTTGAAGTTGAAGTCCACAATTTAAAAAATAAATAAATTTTAGAAGAAGGTTGCCAGGCTGTACTCAGAACTTCAGGGAGGGTTTCACCAAAGCAAGACAGTGCATAATGCTTACTTTCTGTGGTTTGAAAATTGCACTTTGGATGAGAAGGCAGGAGCCCCAAATTGCATCTGACTTTCTTTTACAGCCACATCACACGGCTGACACAAACTCAAGAGTGCTGCTTACCATTCCAAAGTCCTTTTCCTGTGGGCTGTTATCAAGCCAGGGCTCTCCCATCCCATAATTACGGGTTTGAACTGCTTCCTCTTTAAAGATTGCTGCCTTTGCTACATTTATTGTCTAGATCTCTCTTCTATCCTTTCTGTTGTCTTCTAAAGCAGGACTCTCCAAACTTGGCAACTTTTAAGATGTGTGGGCTTCAATGCCCAGAATTCCTCAGCCAGCCAGGGGATCTGAGAGTTGAAGTTTCAAATCTTAAAAGTTAACCAATTTGGGGGACCGTCTTAAAGTATATGTTTACCCGTTGATCTACATTTTTTATCAACATTCCTTCCTTTTTCCTCTTCCTCCTCTTCAAATCATTGGATTGTTGGCTCTTTCACTGGACTCTGTAGCATTCCATTTTACTTCCTTCCTTACCATCAATTACCCTGGATAGCAAGCGTTGGAAGTTAAAACCCACCCCTCTCCTAGAAAAATTAAATATTTTAGGATATATTAAAAAGGCAGAATACTTCCCCTAAAAGAGAAGGAGAAACTCAAGAGAGGCAGAAACTCAGCCCCCCTTCCCACTGTTTTGCACCTATCCTGGCCACAGAGCATTGCTTCCTTTCCATTTTCTGTTCCTGCTGGCTCTGGTGGATTCAGTCCATTCTCACTCATGGTTTCTTCAAATAGAAGCAGCTTCCAATTACTTCCAAGGACACCTCAGACATGGTGATGACTCCTAAGCGACTCCCCCTCCGTCCTCTTTTCAGGAGACCTCAACAACTTGGCCAAAACTGAGGCAGGTTGGTCTTTGGTCTCTGGCAGGTTTTTTTCAGAGACATCTCTTTGGCATTTAAACAGTGAATGTCTCTTCCAACTCTGTTATTCTGGGGTGTTGGTTTTTTATTTCTGTAGCATCTAAAAGCTGAGTGCCCCATTAAAGAAAGGAATATAAGCACCTTCATTTCCACATGGAAATCGCTTCTGAACTTTGTGCTTGAGGTAGAAAAGAATGAAACTTTGATTTTAGGTTATACCAATTAGATTGAAAGATCCTTATAGAAATAGCTAGTTTATATTACTATGAAAAAAAGTTGTGTTTTGATGTTAATGCTTCATTTTACTGCAACAGGAGGAGTCAACACTTCTTTTCCCAATTCTTCCTCACTTATCTCCCCCCCCCCCATCATTCCCTTCACTGCTTTCCTATTTACTTTTGTATTTTGTCTCTTATCTTATAACTCAGTAAAATGTTAGAACACTGATAAAAGGCGAGTGCCCCAGTTGAGCAGTCAGACGTATTCATGAAGGCACTAGGTGGAGCTGTTCATCTATGAGAATTGTGCTCAGAATTCCTCCCATTGTAGATTTTAAACCTGCCTCATCATCCGATTACAGAAGCTGAAGGGACTAGGGGCAAACCACTACTAGGTACCTAGCCCCAACACAATGCTTCGAGCAAGGCCTGCAAATTTGGACAGTGGTACAATAGAGCCTCCTGAGATAGAAGATCTACCATATCCTCTCCTTCCACCAAAGGAGAGCCTCCAAATCCTTTGCCCAAGAGATCTTCCTCTCTCTCTCTCTCTCTGGAGCAGTAGAACAAGTTTGTTCCAACTTCTGCAGAATGGCATTTCTTGAAGACTACTTTATGTCTCTCCTTACTTTCTGCAATCTAAGGAGTTTTTTTTTTTCTAACTGAACAACCATTTCACTGGGATAGTATCAAATTCCTGCCAAGGAGGAGATTGCCCTACAAGATCTCCAAGGTCCTTTCGTCCCATGAAGTTATGTTCTAAATTTATTCAGCTTTTTTCAAGAGGACTTGATTTACAAAGTCTTTGCTCTCCTTGTTTTCTTCTGAGCACACTATAGCCTAGAGCGAGATCTGGACAGAGTCCAGAGGCAGTCTGGCCAGTGCAAATATTGGAAAACCATTCTGATGATCCCCAACATAGTCCTGAAGGCTAGAAACCACGGTAGTACGACCCATCTACAAAGCACCAGGAAGGAAAGGAAGGCCACGCTACCCCACAGTCTTCACTATGGTTGCACAGTTTTTTAAAAAAGCATAGAATCCGAGAGCTGGAAAAGACCTTGGTGGTCTTCTAAGCCAGTCCCCTGACAAGTCTCTGAATTCAGCTCCCAGCTCTGCCAGTTCCTTCCTGATGGACAGGTAGCACCTCAAATCATGCAATACTCTTCAAAAAAAAAGATCTGTGCCAACTTAAATTCAGTCCATTATTTACCAGAGGTTTGGACTTGTGAATTATTAGAGTGGACCAAATTAGATTATATTAGAGCCAAATATAATTTAAATGCTCTGATTGCTCTTTTTAAAATTAATTCTCTCAAAAATCAAGGAGAAAGGTTATGACTAACAGTGTTTCTGTATCAAAATCCTTCTAATTCCACTTCTCAGAAATTGGGACATTATGAGGACGTAGTATTTGAACTGAGGGAACTGTCAGCCAGGCACCATCTGCTGTTAGTCAGACGTGTTGCCCCATCCTGATTCATCCTGAAATCCTTTCTCCTTTCCCCTCGTTCAAAAAAGGAAACATTTTCTTTTATAAAGCATTGTACAATTTTGTGCTTTGGCCCCTTCTTAAGGCAAGCTGAAATTTGGAGCTGAGTGGCCTGAATACAGCCACTCCACACCCCAGAAAGGAAGAGCACCCAAGTCACATTGATGAAATATTGAGAAAACGGGAAGAAATTGTTTTTGCAAAATGCCAGATGGTGTCATCTGCTGGGAGGGTGGAATCATGGCATCCCTTTGTCGGGTCCAGCCCGCATCTGGAAGGGCCCTCGATCTCAACAGGTTCCTTGCGGGCTGATTTTCCTCTTGCAGGGAGTTGAACCCTCTGCATTCTGCAGAAACTGCCTCTTCAGACTGGCAGGACCAACGTTCTCAGCTCCTCGTTCTGCAACAGGAACACTGTGCTTGTCTGATTGTCTGACAAGGAGAAAGTCCACTCCACGGGACGCAGAGAGGTAAGTGAAGGTAGGAGGAAGCGGAAGCAGCTAAACTTGGCCAAGAATCAATTCTGGCACACGTGTTCGTGGGAAGCCATGCCCGCACACAAAGGAGGCCTATCACCTATCATGCATCGCTCGTGTCAGTGGCACACAGTCTGCCTCTTGCACAAGGACATCAGGACACAGGTCACTTTTTTGGCTCTTTGCCTGGCAGGATCCGAGGATGGCTGCTCTCCGATGGGAATATCTGTTCTGCCCCATCAGGTTAAAATGGAACAATGGAGCACAGATAGGTTTAAAATAAAAATAGGTTTCCTGAATTCTTTAATGTTTCGACTCCTTTTTTTGGCAAAATGCTGTTGGCAGCAGGAAAAACGATTGAAGGAAGGGCCACAGCAAAACAGTGTTGGAGCCCAGCCTCAACGTCACCACCCTAGGCCTTTCTGTGCCTGTATCCATCTTTGACAAAAACTTCTGGCCAGTTTCATACATCCCGCTAAATCCTCAACACCAATGACCAAAAC